CAGAACGATTCAGAATTTAAAGTCATTAAAGGAACTTGTGAAAAACCATGAATTGAAGGGAATTTTTAGTCGTGTTGCATCGAGTAAAAGAAATGTAAAAAAAGAACCTCCCTATGTTTCGCAGATTAAGCTAAATTATTTGATAAAATACGATACAAAACCTATTTGAACAGCTAGGGAAGCTCGAATTGTCTAACTCTTCAAATATGCTTTGTAATATCAGTAGAGTTCTCTTTACGATTTACTAAATGATTAATTTGCAGACAAAAATTAAGTAAGAGACATAACATTATTTACCTGAATTATGGGACCGTGGGACAAATATCAACAAATTTAAATTATAGAATTTGGCATTCCTTAGTGTCTCATACACTTTATATATACGGTCGGTGAGTAAATTTTTAACTTGTAACATTTAACTTGAAAGTTTCACATTTTTCCTATTTTAATTTTATAATGAATCACACTTTTTTATGTTAATGATTGGATAATCGCCTATTGCATCGTTAAATATTTGAGCTTAAAAATATTGCAATAACAATCATAAATATGAATACATGACATTATTTAAAGAAGTAAGAGGGTACAAATGAAAAAAAATTAAAAATGACAAGGTTTTCCATTTCAGTGAAGCAGACGTGAAACAGATGAGAACATTATCGTCTCCTCTATCTTCTTTCTTTCTTTCTTTTTCACACTGAAACCAAACAGCGTTTCTGATGTACTTGGATATCATCTCTAAATTAGACTCTCATAAAGCAAGTGGAGGTGACAGGACACCAGACATATGCTCCTGAGCTGGCTCCAGCTCTCTCCAAATTATACAACTATTGCTTCGCTGATTCTTTCCAGCCTGTTGGAAGTACCCTCTGCCGTGCCTGTTTTTAAGAACTTTGAGACCCTTCTGACCATTCTAATTACTGCCCTATCAGTCTCCTACCACGCTTCGGCAAGGTCTTCGAGGTTTTGATCAATGCCGCAATGGTTAAATAACTTACCTACCTCTAACTACTCTCTGACAAACAACATGGTTTCCGCTTTGCCGGTCTACTGTTGATGAGCTTACGGCCATAACTGAATATGTATACCAAGTTCTTTATAACAATAGTGAAGCTCGAGCTGTAGCTCTAGACATCTCTAAGGCGTTTGTCAGGGTCTTGCATGCTGGCATTCTATGTAAGCTTCAGGGCTACGGTTTTATAAAACGATTATTTAATTTAATCCAATCATTCCTATCAAATCGTGAAATGAAGGTCGTCCTGAACAGGATTTCCTCCAGTTCCTTTCCATACAAATGCCGGTGTTCCCCAAGGCTCTCTCCTGGGTCCTACACTGTTTCTGATCTTCATCAATGATCTTCCTGTTGTCATCAGTTCTCAAGAGGCATCTGTGCAGACGATATTTTTATTTACTTTAGTCTCAATAGTAAATCCGGCAATGCTAGCAAAGTGAACCTGTCCGTTAGTTTAGCAAAGGAACTCCGATCAGTGGTCGACTGGGATAGGAAATGGCTTGTAAATTTTAAGACCCCCAAAACGAAATTGCACCCATTCAACCACCATAGAGAAACCTCCCTTTCCCCTATCAGCATGGTTGATACTCACTACTTCACGAGAGTATCTCACTGCGCATTCTTGGCCTTACGTCTTTCACTGTCTTGAGGTTAAACAAATACATTGCATCAATAGCTGCATCTACTGCAAGGAAAGTTGGTTCTCTGTGCCGTGCCAGAAGGTTTTTCTCGCCTGAGTCAATCTTACACATCTACAAATCTACCATTCGTCCATGTATTGAATACTGCTGCCATATATGATCTGGTGCCTTTGCTGTTCATCTCGTGGTACTCGACAAAAACCAAAGATGGATATTCAATGTGATCGGTCATGACTTGGCATCTCGACTCAAGTCACTTTCTCAAAGACGTCATGTGGCATCCATCTGTGTTTTCTACAAATATTTTCATGGCAACTGCTCTAATGAGCTATTTTCACTGCCACTCCAAATGCATGAATTTAAGCGTGCTACCAGGTTGGCATCTCAGTTCCACTCTTTTACTGTCAAAACAGTTAAATGTAACCGCCTCATTTACTCTAACAGCTTCTTCTCTCGCACTTCCCGACAGTGAATCTCCCTTCCTCTTATGCTTCTCTGATAACTACAATCTGCAAAAATTTAAATGTAACGTCAATCGCCATCTTTTGATTCTTTGGTCCCCGTTCTTCTTTTTATCCTTTCCTCAATCCCCACCCACTATACCAAGTTTTTTTCTTTTATTTTCACTCTCTGTAATCCCTTGCGTACTCCGCCTTGCTGGGGTGAAATGCTTAAAAACAATATCTTTTTCCATCTTCACTTGTGTTAAAAACGGAATAGTCCATTATTTACAGGCTATTGGCAACGTACATTCTAACTAACCAAGGAACGAAAGAACAAGTATAATTGATGGAACAAATACATTGGAGAACTCTTCTACGACGAAAGAGAAAAAAACGCAAAAATATAGAAACACAATTAATATTAAATCTCAAATGAAATCAGCAATGGCCAAATTAAACAAGAACAAAGCAGAAAGACCAGATGAAATTTTAACTGGGATGCTGGAAGCTTTAGATGATTTCAGAATTGACAATATTACAGATATCATAAATGATATATACGACAATGGTGATATACCGGAAAAGCTAAGTAGATCCCTTTTCACAGCGCTGCTTAATGTGAAATCCATTTATTCAGCCTAATGAGTCATATAACTAAAGTTATCATCCAGATTTTGATAAATAGAGCGCGTAGCAGAGTTAGACCGGAAATAAGGCAAGAACAAAGCGCTTTTGTTAAAGACACTGGAACAAGGAAAGCTATATTTATGCTCAGAATTATACCAGAAAGAGCGATACAAATTTATGTATGAAATAGTGTTTGATGAAGTATGACACAAAGAAGTATTCAATCTGCGAGGTAACCCTGATTTATTTGGTAAGTATATTAGAATAATCCAGAGACTGATACTGGGAGTAAGTCACGGGGATACTAACAGAACATGAATTCAGTAAATACACAAAAAATAAAAAATGGCGTAAGACAAGGCTGCGTCTTCTCACTCCGGACTTCTTTAGTGTGAGGCGATCCTGAGAGAATTAGAAATCCGACCAAGATTCACTATTAGTGGCCACATTCTTAACGTAAGATATTCAGATATTGATAGTAAACACAGTACAGAAACTGTGAGTACTCCTACAAAAGCTTATAATTGAAATCAATAAGAAAGGACTAAACATTAATTGTAAAAAGATAGAATTTACGGTTGTCAGCAAAAGGAACAATTTTCTGATACGCACAGTATAAAGCAATCTTTCTCTTTTTTAAAAATATTTTCCAAGGTATATTACGCATAGTTTTTGTAAATCATATACCTGAAAAAAAAAAAAAAAACACTGTGCCCATTTTTACTACAAAGAGCTAAGACATTTTCAAACAATGTGGCAATTAGAGAGGACGTTTGATAAGCCTTACATCTGAGCTTTGTTGAGGCAATACAATGTCTGATTCAAAATAAAACAAAATAATATATACTATAAAAAAGGCTTGAGAAAAAAAATCCCTTTTCAAGATTATTTTCAACCAATCAAACGGACGGAATTCGAAACAAATATTAAAAGTAATTCAGTTAGCCAGTTGGAACATATTTATAAGGAAGGCTGTCAGCCAAATTAATCATTATTCATCTCGATTTGCTTTGTGCGTGCTTAGTTAACTATGATAATTGGCTGGTTGGTTTGTTTAGTGGTACATCAAACTATGGGTTATTCAATACAGAAATCTAAATATTTTGTACTCAGTTTTATTTGGGGGGGATAATAACGGTTTTAGTGTTACATCTGTTACTAATTAACATTAATTATGGGGAAAAGAGATGGATTCATACATTTTTCAAGAGTATTTGCGCGTAAGCGGATATAAGGAACCCAAATGGAATTAGAACTCGGACCTCTGATTAACAATTCTGCGCCATTATCCATTACACCAACTGTATATCTAAGCTTACGTCACCTGGTATTCCCAAATGGTCACTCATTTTGGTACTGGACTGGACGTTGTTTAACTTCGATGATCCCACGGGAACCAATGTTTCAACCTAAGCCCACAGCGATAAGGTCAGCAGGACAATTAACCTTAGCAGTGAGATGAAAAAAGAGGTTGCTAAGTTCGGAGATAACCGCAAAAAATTCTAGGACAAGCTACGAAAAGCTTGAAAATAGAAAATTCAGAACACGTTTTCAGAACAAACCCCACAAACAGACGAAGTTTTCCTTGATGATATAAGATAAGCCACACTCTTCAATTATAATTCTCCAATGTTGTCACAAATTCTGAAAGCTTTCCACAAACGACAGTTATTCTGTAACTTCCATTTCAGCGTTGACCTATCAACACCCTATATATTTGCCAGCATCGCGTGATTTCGGACTTATATTAAGCATGATTTATGAATTGGTTATTTTCAAGGCTGACCCCGGGAAACGAAAAGTGAAACTAAGCAAAATTGGAGACCTCCGTAATTTACAATAATTCAGAAATGTTCGGAAATATAAATTTTAATTAAAAAACTGAAAGCTAGTCCGTTTAAAATTTTTTAAGTGTAGACAAAATTTTATCTAAACACTTAATTTTCTCAATTTGAGGTTTTTTTTTTTTGGTTTTTTTTTTTAATTCTGTAACGATGAAATGTCGGTAATTTCATATCGGTAGCCATTGGAGACGACGGTATATTTGAGTCGCTTTCGAAATCATTGAAAATCTTCTGGCCTCGAGAAACACAACTCTCAATAATTTTTGGTCTTTTGAAAAATAAAGGTTTTCTTTAAATTTGTGCTTAATAATTTAATCTAACCTAATCATTTCTTTTAAAATAAGCTGACGATAAGAAGATTATAGCCTGAATTATTTAGGAAATCACATTAGAATCCAGTGAAATAAGATTAATTTTTTCAGTATGAATAGGCTTACAGCCATAACATGTTGAAACAGCGGTTCTCATACGATCACTGAAGTTAAGCAACTATGAGCATGGTCAGTAGCTTGGTGGCCGCTTGGGAATATCAGGTGCTAT